CTGCATCAACCCTCAGTCTGTTTTATCGCTTTGTTGGACTTTCAGTGAGAAACTAACGAAATGAAGAAACGATGAAAAGTGGATGAAAAAGTTCCTGAATGAGGCTTTGAATCAGGTTTACAGTCAATAAATGTCATTTTGTAAATCCCTGGTCTTATTTGCCTCTAAATAAAACCAAAGCTGATGACAAACGTAGTGTGTTCGTTTTTATTCCTGATGTTCTGGTTGGTACTGGAAATAAAACCAGAATCCGTCTCTTCAGCAGCCGTCTGAAACGTTTTCCAGAGCGCCGCTCAGATCCTGGATCAGCTTCATTCTCATGGAGCTGAGAAAATCAACAAAGAATGAATTAGATTCAGCTTTTTATACGACACCATTTATCAAGGCATCTAATGGAGAAAAATGATCAGTGGAGAGTTCAATCCGTTCTCTGATGGATTTATTTACATTTTTATTTTAAATGTTACTCTGAGCCTCAGAGCAGAAAACGCTCAAAGATGAAAATCAACGATAATTCAAGATGCTCATTCAGGATTATGAGGAAATATTATTTAATACGTTCAGCATCAGGTCTGCGTGTCTTTCAGTGTTAAAGTCTGCCACTATGACGTTTGTCACTAACATTAAGCCTGAATTACAACACAAAACAAAAAACAGAAATAGTTTTAATGTTTTCACATTTGAGAAAAACCAAAGCTCAGATATTTGAAAGACCTGAAATTAATAAATCTAACAGGAGGAGTATCTGGAAAAATGTTCCCAGATATCATTTCTATGTGCCGACAGAGATGGCATTTAAACTCCTCTGTTCAGTCCCATGATGCTTTGCTCTAACCTGTGACTCAGGAACCTACCTGGCAGAAACCAAACGCTGAAGTAAAATAAATCAGAGGTGAAATGAAAGTCTGAGCTGCTGACATGAACCATGACCTCTGATGTCGGGCCTCACCGTTTTACCTGGGCTCTGAATGGCAGTGTGTGTGTGTGTGTAGGTGTGTGTGTGTAGGTGTGTGTGAACATGGTGAAGCTGAATTCGCCTGCAGACAGTTGGCGGCGGCTCTGGGAGCAGGAGGCGATGAGACATTAAACATGTTCAGCTTCCAGTTCTGTGAGAGAATCAGATTTAGATTTTATTTTCATTTAGCGCCTCCTGGTCCGATGCATTCCTGAACCAACACAATGAACGGCTGATTGCAAAGGAGGCAATTAAGGCTTTAGAGTTGGAGCAGGATGGACTACAGCTGCAGATGGCTGATTCCCACCAGCCAGGTTCAGTTCGCTTTAATGCAGCCCATTTGCCTATAAACTCCGGTTCGGTTGTGAGGTGTGAACGCTAATCGACCTCTGACCTCTGGTCCTCAAAACCTCGATCTGGGTTTGGTCGAAGTGAACTCTGGATCAGTCTGAATGTGAAAGCCAAGCGGACCAGAGACCGCTCCAAAAGCAGGAAGTGGACTACAGCGCAGGGCATTCTGGGTAAATCCAACCAAAGCTAACATGCTAGCCTAGCGCTAGCAGCAGAAATGGCTCCTGGTCTTTAGCCTAAAGAGAAATCCTCCAATGCTAAAATCTGACGCCTCCATCTTGTTTCCATCTGGTGAAGAAGGAAGTTGCTCTCAGAGTCTTCAGAGGTTTTGGTGTCGTTTTCTTCAGTGGTTCTTGGTGCAGCGCCCCCACAGGCCAGGAGGGGAACAGGTTGGTTTGACTCAGAGCAGCTGGAGGTGGAGCAGATGTTCTGGTTCCAGTGGAACCGGGTCGACTGGACCATCAGGAGGAAACAGCCTGACATGATGTTGGCTGATCTGTGGTGAACAAAGTCAGTAGTTATCGCATGACTTTGTTTGCAGTTTCCTCTGCAGGTAGTTGCATCGCATGTCTCACTCCGAGAGTAAATCTGAACCATAAGGGTTGAAAAATGTTTTCAGTTTCTTCTGAAAGTTTTAGTTAATTTAATCAATAGCTTGATTTGCTCCAAGTAACTGAGGAACTGAATTGCAGGATTTGGTGAAAGAGAAGAACTCTGCAGGAGGGGAAGGATAAAAACATGGCTGAGCGCGTGATGATGCTGCCGGGGGCAAGAGAAGCAGCTGCGGCACAGAGACACCTGCAGGGCAGGAGAGGAACTCCACATATCAGTAAGCACTGGCGGCCGGTGAAGGCGGGCGGTGCCAGCTGCAGCAGATGTTCCTCTTCGCCTCTGCAGACTCCTCAGCCTGATCCAGGAAACCCTCCGGCCGCCGCGGCTCGCTGCTGATGCCACAGGCGTCCGGTCCGCTCATCCTCTCCCTGCTTTGTTTTGCTCCCTGTGCGGCGGGTTGAGTCGGATCTGGACCGGCAGGGAGGTCACCGCCGGCAGAACGGGGTCATGTCGGAGCGCCGGGTCCGGGTTACGGGAAGCAGCCATTACATTAGCATCTAAATTAATTACTGGTGTTACTTTGACCTCTGACACGGCAGAGCAGCTGATATGTGGCCCTTCAAGCCGCCTGCTGCTGCGTTTCGCTGCTGCTTCGTGAATATGAAGGCGAATCGGAGCAGATCCAACAACGTAACGAGTTATTAATGTTTTCATGCATCTATCATTCCTGGCTGCTCTGTGGATGAATGCATGGAGAAAACAACAGAAACATTCACTGTCCAGATAAATCCACACCTCAACGTTAAACATTTAACTAATTATGAGGCATAAAGAGGAAATTTATTCATTTTTTGCAAAATCTCGAATCCAGAGCATTTATTTTATTGTTCAGATTTTTGATGGTTTGTTTAGTTTTTAAAGGAAATTTAAAAACTGGAAGATGATTTTCATCCTGCAGTAATTTTACTGATTATGAGAGAAATAAGTGTCAGTTTGATGATGATGATGATGACAGCCAGGTGTCATCATCATCATCATCTTCATCGCCATCACCTTCATCACCATCATCATCATCATCATCAGTCTTCTCCTGACTGTCTGCTTTACAAAATGTTTAAACTCAGTTTTTTAGCTGAATGATCAGAAATTAATGCTCCAGTCAAAAATGAACCAAGATGTTTAATTTTTATAATAAATGGTTTGTTATGATTGGCTATGAATAATAATTATAATTGCTTAAGGTCATTATTAATAAATGCAGTAATTTAGATCAGTGACCACATCTCTTATTACTGAGCAAATAACCAGAGTTGGTAGTTAAACTACATGAACTTCCCTCCAAGTTAATGACTAAATTAATCTAAAATATTTTATCCAACCATCTCACTAATCTAGAAACACAAAACTAAAACTGCAAAGAAAAAGAGAAAATGATGATGAAACTAAAAACAGTAAAAATATGAAAACAGCCAAAAGGATGACGTAATGATGAATCTGGAGTTCATCAGTTTGAACTGATTCAGATTCACTGACATCATTCTTCACATTAAAATGTGCAACAAATAAAACATAAAATCCACTGAATGGTGTGAAGTGACATCCAGTAAGAGTATTTATCTCTACAGACCAAGAAGCGTTTTGAAAGGTTTTAGTGAAGCCGATTAAATAATTAGTTTATAAAATGGACAAACGTGACGTTTCAAACAGCATTTACTGTAATAATAACAATAATTCATTTATCTACACAATAATCTGACGATAAAGTGAACTATGGGTAAAGTTGGAGTTTGACAGAGCAGAGTTCTCCTGTAGAAGATGATGAAGATGATGGTGATGAAGAGGCTCTCCAGAGTGGATCTAACCTGATTCCTGATGAACACCAGATCTACTCTCTAAAGGTTTGCTGACAGCAGCAGCTGAAGGATTTTGGTTCGGCTTTATGATTATTTATCGTTGTTACTTTGACAGAGCCGTTACTCCTGCAGTATAATTAGTTTCAGTAAAAGTCTAGAAACATTCAGTTAGATTCTCTCAGCGTTTTGAAGCATCAGCAGCAGAGTCACTAATTAAAACAAAATGTCTTCAGCAGCGCTAATGTCTCCGTTTCCATTTTGGAAAGTGACACCTTGCTGTTCCGCTGCACATTCAGCGAACAGGTAAACATCCTGTTAATGAGCCGCTTCGCTCCACCGGATTAATGAACGCTGCAGAACCAGAACACCCGGACCCGTCACACAGCCACATTTATACTTTTAATGGAAGCAAAATGAAATGAAACGCAGCCGCTCTGCTGGTCCTCAGCCACAAACAGCTGCTGAACTGAATCACTTCATTCAAGCAGAACCCGTCTGACAGCATGAAGCAGGCTAAAAAAACCAAACCTCCTGGTTCAGGGAAAACAGAATCATCCATCTTGCTACGGTTTGTTTCCCAGATTTCTGTCTGGCATTCAGAAACTGTTACAGGTCTCAGTCAGCAGGTTAAAAGTCGTTCTGTACAGAGCACAGAAAATTATATAACAAGAGGTGAACTTCCTGCTTCATCTGATTAACATGTTTCATTCTGCTCATTTAACCTTGAGTCCTCAGTTATTATTAAAATATACTGATCACAAACCAAAGTTTCAACAAAATAGTTTTCTTTTCACAGTCCAAATGTCTGTGGACAATATGTTGAAATATGGCAGAATGTACAAATCTCACACAGTTTAACTGGCTTGCAGTTAAATTCTTAGTACTTTTATTTTAATAGACATGGTTGTTTAACTGATTACCTTTAGTCATAATGTTGACGCCATGGGAATCTCATAGGTGAGTGAAGGATGTAGCACTTTAGCAACTTATTTAATCAACTTTAACACTAAAGTTAGATTAAATAATTCTTTTATCTAACTTTAACATGAAGACAACTTAGTGAAACCCCAACAACCAGTAAAAACTGACTGTTTATCCGGTGAGCAGTGAAATAAAGCAGGATTAAAACACATGGTTAGCCATGTTAGCATACACACGAAAAACAACAGCATTCCGCGCACGATACATTCAAAAGGCCATTTTACAAACAAACCGTTGGCTGATAGGCACTATAAAATGACACGGAAGGTGTAAATAAAACATACTTTCAAGTTAAATAATCCACAAACCTGTAAAAAGCTGGGAAAATGATGAGATCAGCAACAAGTAGTGCGCTTCCTGCTTCTTCTCTGACAGTCTGAGGGGAGACGACACCGGCGTGCTGCCCCCAGTGGCAATATTTAGCATTACACCACCATTAATGTCATTCCGCTGGGAAACTCACAACAGTTCAGTTTATTTTCTACATAAGTAATGCCGAACCAACCAAAATAAGGAAATATACATAACCACATTTAACGAACATTTAAGGGTATCACCGATCATTTAAATAGAACCCGACTGACAAAATGAAGTAGGCTAGAAAAGCTTCAGAAGACCTGGATCCAGGGAAATTCAAGAGCAGATTCACCACGCTCTGGAAAGGGTTACAAATAACTTCAGTTAAGGTCAAAGGTCATGATTCAACAATGAGAAAGAGAGATTGGACTAAACTCCAGAACCACTGCTGACCCAAAAGAACATGGAGGGCCATCTCACATTTAACAGAAATCATCTTGAGGATCTCAAACGATTGTGGATAATTAATATAATATAATATAATATAATATAATATAATATAATATAATATAATATAATATAATATAATAGAACTAATGGGACCAACTGGACCTTCCAGGAAGGTTCTGGTCCCGTTACATCTGCAGCATTTCAGAGCAACAGCAGTGAAACACGGTGGTGGCAGTATGATGGTCTGGGCCTACTTTTCTGCTTCAGTATCTGGATGACCTGGTTAGACTGTTCAGCAGAGCAGAGAGGGTCAAAGTTCATCTGCAACGATGTAAGCCTCAGTACTTCATTCAGGGTGTACTTACTTTGTCACTCAGGTTGGTTTGGAAAGATTTTCTTTCCTTCTAAATAAATTAAATTGTATTTTCAGTATTGACTCAGGTTTCATCTGACATTTGTATCATGATGTAACATTTCAGAGACCGAAATCTTCAGGGCGTTAAAACTTTCCTCATCACGGCGGAAACGTTGGACCTTCAACAAAGTGAATCAGAAAAACACCGTAAAGATGTTTTCTTCTCTTTCTGATGAAAAATGAGATTGAAACACAAAGAAACAGTAAAAATATGGTTTTTTTATCCAAATTATCCTGGTTTTTCAGTGTTTTGTGAATGTTTGAGCAGTTTCTGCTTTTTATCTTGTTCTTTTTTCTGTAAACCATCAAAAACCCATTTTCATGTATTCTATCCTTTCTCTAAACTTAACCCTCGTTGTCTGAATCCCAGCAGACGAATTAAGCTGAACCCAGCGCCCCGCTCTGCGTCTGTTCGTTTTTCACAGCTCATCAAACCCAATCACTCTGCTGGTTCCAGTTTGGTTAAAGAATTAAGGAGTTTGTGAGGTCGTAAGAACCTCTGAGCCCGGTTCGCATCAGCAGAGTCACAGCGGAGTCGGCAGACGCTAATTAAAGAAACTCCAAAAAGTTACTTTAAAAAAATCCTTCCTGGCTTGTTGAGATGAAGTCATGTGACCCGTAAAGACGACAGGTGATCCGGCAGAGCGCAGGAAATGGAGTTAGCGAGGAAACGATGGGCTGGGAACCCGAACAGAACCGACCCGGAACGAGCTGGGCCCAGCAGAAACATTGAGAGGTCGCGACCTCTGGTGGAGGAAACGCATCGAGAACCTGATGAGTTTACTGGAGTGTTTCTGCTGGCGCCAGGTGAGCCGGGCTGGACTTTAACTTTACAGCAGCTAAATAAAAACCAGGAGGAGTTTCTGTATGGAGACCCAAACGAGGCGAAGTTTGTAAAAAACCCAAAGCAAAGACAAAATAAACAACAATATTCCAGTTCATGAAGCCTGTCAGGGTAAAACCATCAGTGTTCATTTTCCAAACTCACGTTTTCACCATGTGATTCAGCATTTATGAATGTCAGAGTTACAAACTGAATATTTAATTCACAAATTAATATCTGGTTTGTTAGCTAATTATTTTGTTAGCAAGGACATTTTTAGTTCAAAAAATATTTAGTTTGTAAGCTAAGTATTTAATTTAGAACTAAATATTTAGTTAAATTATTAACTAGAGTTCCTTGGAGACAGAAAAGATTCTGCTGTTCGGATTTCGATCACACTTTTTCAATCTACACTTGGTGTTTTTGCTATTGACAGGTATTTTATGAATATTATCTATTTCTGTATTAGTTTTTTGTTTTATTTGGAAAGCTGTGAAGGTTAAAACAGACTGAAATAAATCAGTTCCTTAGACTTGAAGCTCATCAGTTAGAGAAACAATCAGCTGTTTGGATCTGGATGTTTCCTCTGCTGTTCAGCAGAGAACCAGCCCTCGGTTTGCCGTCCCTCCAACACGCCCGGCGCCAGCCAAAAATAATTCTCCTGGAGGAGAAGAGCCTGTATCTGTGTCAAGGGCAGTGACTAATGTAGGTGCCGATGGCTGGTGGTGCTAAATGCTACGATCTCTTTCTTATCGCTCTGACTCAAACGCTCGCAGCTCAGGGATTAGCAGGAGTTCCTCTACGCAGCATCTGCATGTTTGGCTGATCAGTTGGAGACTTTCTGCTTCCTCTGATTATTTAAACATCTGCTGAACATCATCCCACATCACTGACACAGCCACTAATAACGCTGCGGCTCCTCTAATGTTAAGGTTTTAGCAGAAATCATTAACAGAATTATTTTTTATGACTCATTTAATCAGCGGTTTCATTACTGTGCTGACAGAACCCGGTCCTTCCTTCCAGCACCGGCTTCCACTCAGCACTGTTCATGGTCCATTATCTCCCAAAGATGAGCAGACTGTCATCAGCAAAGGCCATTACAGAGTCTGGGAGGGGCGCCGTGACTCCCCCTCCGACCGGGACCCAGAGCGGCGCTCGGCTGGTTCCGAGGCGGCCTGCACTGCTCTGAAACGTTCAGAGGAAAACCGTTTGGGAAGCTGGGAAACAAAACGCTGGCTGACACTGTGCTGCCGGGAAAAGCAGCCAATCCAGGAGCGCCGTTCATCTCCCTGTGCACTGATTGGCTGAACCGCCAGGAGCAAAGATCCTCCATTCAGTTCATGGAGCATCAGCTAGCATCGGGTCGCACCATACTTTACAAGATACATGACTGTAAAGTTACTGTAGCACATGGTTCTGTTCAGGTCCATTAAATGGAGTCCAGTTTGGACCCACTGGGTTGAATGTCAGAGAGAATCAGGTGTTTGTTGCTGTGGTTTCTGTTTCTCCTTCTGTCCCTTGAAAAGCCTTCATCCAAAGTTTCTTTATTTCCGTTACAGTCCGTTAAATCTGAGATAAAGTCAAAATGATCTCTAATGGCTTCACAGTTAGTTTTAATCCTCCCTCATTTCTCTCTGCTGGGCAGGAAACGTTAAAATAAAATGTCAGAAAGAAGTGCAGACTGTGTCAAAGCACGGGGCAACAGTGGAAAGGAAGGACTGTCTTTTACCAGGACAACACCTCCAGCAGAACCAGAACCAGAACCAGGCTCAGTGTTACAGTAATACTGAGACCATGAGTCTTAAACTCCAGCAGACAAGCTGTTCTTGTTGGACGCTGATATTTATTATTAAAATGTTCCAAAAAAGATGGAAAAGTCAGTAAATATGTTACGATATCTGGTTCATCCAATCAGTGGTCAGTGTTGTATGTAATATGACCCAAGCATGAATCGCTGGTCTTTGTTCGCTCAGCGGTCGTGTTCACTAACTTGAACGTTGCTAGGATCTAGATTTTTTCAAACAACAGATTAAAATCTATAAATATCTTTTCTGTTGAGTCTGTTTATCAAACGATTTAGCAGCAAAAAGGTTTTTGAACTGAAAATGTTGCTTATTTTTTGTTGATATACAGTTAAACTAAAACGTAATTCATTACAAACCAAAGTAGTTGTGAAGACAGAAACACATACTGTGTGTGTGTGTGTGTGTGTGTGTGTGTGTGTTTCCAGTGAAGGAATGTGGCTTCTATCTGTGTGTGTGAAGGTCACGGTGTGTGAACGTGTCTCTGTGCGCAGCGGTGGGACAGAGGAGCGGCCATCTTGTGAGCCCTCCACCTGCCCTCTGTGGTTCTCCTTCAGCTGATTGTTTTCTAGGCGGTCCCTTAAATCCACAGCTCTGTGATGGTGTGTGTGTGTGTGTGTGTGTGATGGTGAGCTAACTGCTAACTGAAGGAAGCAGAGCAGAAACCGAAAACTTGCCACCATGCCAGTGTAAACACCTGGAGACGCTCAGCTGAAAACTTCTGAAATTAAAAAAACAAACTGAACTTGATGCACGGATTGAAAACTAGGATCAGCTGCAATGAAACGTTTCTGTTGCCTTGATACGTTTTGTACTGAAATAAACGGGATGAAGTGAATTTGCTGAGACTCAGACTGAGGCGCTGACTGATGACCGTTCAGCACCAGAAGGTTTCCGTCTCACCTTGAAGCTGCTTTAATGTTTGACCGGCTGCCAAACAGCACAAAGTCTCTTCAGCAGCAGTGTGGGAGTCCAGCTTGGTCAAAAAGCAACAGCAATAATTTGGGTTTTTATCCAAAGAAAATATTTAGAGTTAAGCTAAATATTTAGTTTAAACTAATACTTAGTTAGCAAGCTAAATCTTTAGTTAGTTGGTTTGCCACTAACGACGCCCCTGAGTGTTGTCTTACACATGCCAAACCCACAGGGGGCGGTGTGAGCCAATCAGATGCTTCAAAACAATCATGACTTCCTGTGTAGAACTGAACATGAAGTTAATTTGTGTGGACACATAAACTGAACTACTTTGTTATAATCTGAAGTTATTTAAACATAAAGCAGGTTTGTGGACATTTTGGCGCACAATTTGTTGCAGATTGTAAAATGTGGGACTCAATCTCTGTGCACACGCAAAACACAACCAGAGTTTTCTCAAATCTCCATTTTGTCGTGTTAGTGATACTAAAGAGAGTTTTTTTGTGGATGAAAAGGTAAAATGCATAAACATATTTGTTCTCCCATATGTGTGGACTAAGGGCAAATCTGGAAGCAGAGCAGGGAAGCCAGTATGGAAAATGAAGGGCAGGATGATGCGCAGGAGGAGGTGGAGGGGTTGGCGGCGTTTCGGTCGCTGCTGACCAAATGATTCATGACAAGTGAGCTCAGCGCTCAGACCTCTGGGTCACGCAGGAAGATAATGGGAGGAGAGGGCGACGACAAAATGAGATGGAGCAGAAAAACAGGGAAGGAGTGTGATTGGAAGAGAAAGATGGGAAGATTACAGAAAAGAGTGAAAGAAGCTGGGAGGTAATAGTCGATATAAATGTGGGTCAGCTGTTACAGTTTGGAGGTCGCACAGGGAGAAGCAGCAGAGCAGCA